TCCCAGTTTCTAGTTTTTTGTTTACTGAATTATGCAATGTAGCCTTCTGCAACTTTGTTTGACTTCCAACATCCTAGTCGCTTTAAGGACGTCAAATTGGCTCCTGAATCTGCAAAAAATGTAGCAGAGGTCCTCCTGAAGCTGTACCCAGTATAATACTCAGCATCCGGCAGACCAAGAAACGTAGCTATTTCTTTTGGCATATTACCAAATTTGTTTATCCCGATTGCTGGAGCTGTACACTTCCCTTTTTGATAATTTTGGAAAAACCGGTTGGTTTTTGCTTTTTGGGACCGCTGATTCATATATTTTTGCACTATTCTAAGAAAATCTCAAAGCTTTTCGGAATCTTATTTTTTGTATTCGGAATCTTGATTCGTAGCATTTTTCCATGGGCTTCAATATCTTTTAAAGTAATATTGGCTAACACCTCTCTGCGGCAAGCTCCAACAACGCCAAAAATCAGCGCAACCTATAAAAAAAGGATTTGATTAATATTTTTTTTAAATAATATATTGACTGTATTTTGCGATTTCGTAAAGTGAATACTAAAGAAAAATATAAGTATTTATTAATAAATCACCTTTTTGGCTAAATAACAATCATCGGGAGCTTCGTTCAAAAACCTTTCCACTTCATTCGATGTTAATATTTTCGACTTTTTAGTTGTAAAACCGTCTGATTGTCGTTTTAAGAAAGCACTTAGTTTTGGGTATTCACTTATATCCGCGTTGTTCCTTATTTTCAGCATACTTTTAGCATCGAAAACCTCGATCATTACGTAGAAGGTTTTAATTTTGCTGAGAGTTCGGAGAAGTATGCCAACATAACATTTTCTGAAAAACTATTTGCTTTTTTCTCTTCTCTCCACGCAATAAATTCGTCGTATGTAGATATGTAGCGACTTCTTGACTTTTCCGGTAAAATGTTCTCCGAAGCATTTTGTGCAATTATACTGAGTTCCGGTGGTGTTATTTCAAATAAAATATCGTCGAAATAACTCATTTTGTGCAACAAACAACTAAACTCGCAAAGAAAATTTTTGGAAAATGGTGCCAACCGAAAAAGAATATAAAGAGAGATTTTTTTTGTTTTCTTCACCCATTCTGGGTAGGCAAAAGTTCCCTTTGCGAATAGCGACCCGCCAAACAACCATCGCAGAGACGCAATGCTGTAGAACGCAACAAGCATCAATATGACTATCGTCGGCTTACACCATCCCAAGGTCCCCCATACAGTCCCAGCAGACATCACCACCCGCATACCTCGATCGACCTGAACCTCAAGATGCGTCGAAATCAGGTGCAGCACACCCGCAGATCCATCACAAGACACAATACTGCAAAGTAGCAGTAAGCATCAATGCAACTATCATACGGATGGTGCCCCCTCACAACACACCCACATGATCCCTATCGACTTTGGTACTAGTAGCACGGTACTAAGACGTCAGTAGCCAATACTCCACGTATCATAGCGATATTGCACTAAGACATGGAGTTGAGTATGCTTGCTGCACTTAAAAGTACTACCAAACACACTCACCCTAATCCGAAAGATAGCCGGCGTATCATAACGCTATGCACTAAGAAGCCGCCCAGCAACGGTAGGGGTGTGCGATATCCACGGGCAAGTCGTATTGCTACAAAAAACCCGCTTACCACCGACACTAAGATGATATGTCTAGGGCACATCGGTTAGCCGAGTCCAAGTTTACCTCGGTCTCGGAGGCTGCGAAGCAACCTACACGCCACTATAATAATCCTTTTTAAGTCCCATTTCTTTCAATATAATGCTTTTACATATTTGAGACCTTCCACATATTTGCTTTATTTCATAGACCATACTATTGTATGTCTTATTTATTTGGGACTTCAAGTCATAACTCTGCTATCATAATGCTTATGCAACATAGAGACATTCTATATTAATGCTTTGGTTCGTTAGACCTTACTTTCATAAGTCCCTAATACAGGACTAGTCATTGTGCAACCTTACTATTAGCAGTTGATCAGCCCACCACCCCATATATATGTACAACCTTGGGTATGCGTCTCCGGCAACGCCCCAATATAAAGGAACATTACAAGAACACATTCATTAGCTTAGAGAACATTTTGATCCATTTTTTCTATTATTTTACAAATGTTATTTATCTTTATAATTGTAATATAATCGACTTGTATTTATATGATTTATTACATTTTGAATATTTTAAGCAGAATTTCAATAAATTTAGAGATTTTTAGAGACAATTTATGCGTTTACTAATACTATAATATTCAATATTCCAAATAAATATATTTGAACTTTATGCCTATTATTTGCATTTTAATTGTTTAAAATATAATTTCTATGATATTTTTAAATGTCTTCATAATGAATTTAATTATTATTTATTAATAAATATTATGAGGCGTCACACTGTGTTCTAATTAGAAGGATAGAGGGAGCCAGTATAACGACAGGTTGTGAGCTATTCCATCTTAGTCCTCAGAGGTTAAAACGTATGCGTTTTTGTTTAAATTTGGCTACCGTTGATATGGATATGGAGTTTGTTTGTCATTTTTATAGTAAAATTGGTTTTGAATATTTTAGAAATCGGACAAAACCAAAACCAACCAAAAATCAATACAAATATGCTATAGTCAATTAAAATGATGACGGCATGTCTTCTTCTCCTTCTTTTATTGCAAATAAAGATTATTATTTTTTACATAATCTAACTAGATTGACCTCTTGATCGAAGTTGGACCGATGGATTCTACTCGATTATGACACATCTTTTCATCACATTTGTTATCTCAAAACTTGTATGTCGTCAGTCATAAAATATGGATCAGAGACGTGTTCCTTCACTGCTCGCTGTATGATGAAGCTCAAGGTCTCTCAGCGAGCTATAGAGAGGATATCCGTAGTACAACCATAGTAACTAACATAGAACAACGGATTAGTAAGCTGTAGTAACAATGGGTTTGCCATATAGCTCTAAGAATCGACGACCTGGAAGAAAGCTTCTCGAAGGTCAACCTCGTAACATAACAGAACGTCAACGGCTGCTTAAATGCAGGCTGCTTTGTGGTGTTCCTTGGAGGAAGCCTATGTTCAACAGGCAACTTGTGAAGAGCTGTAATAATGATGATGATGATGACGATGACATAATAACCAAGATTGTAAAATATCGTTTTTAATAGCGCACACCGATAAAACAGCTAAGCAGCACTTTTCCTCCGATTGGGCGCGCGCCACATTGAGTATACGAGGCGCTGTTTATCATTGACATACCTACTGCTATTTTATTTATTTATTTATTTCAGGCAGAGCCCATATAAGTTTTTAACAATTTCAAATTATAGCTAGAGTTATTAAAACTACATTAAAAAATCTATAAAAACAACAGAGAAATTCAAACAGTTGTAAGATAGATCCACACAACAACATATACACTGTTATGCTTCTGTGCGCATCCACGCTTGTAGAAGTGGCAAGTTCTGCTGATCAACGAATACCCCAAGGGTACTGTTGGTGCTGTTCCGCAAACAGGTCAGCGCGGAGGCACACCGCCTCCTAACTATCGCGGCGAAATCATCAATACGGCTCTTAGCAAACATATCTGAGGCGCTGCCTCGCCATGGCAGCCCCAACAGTACCCTCAAGGCATAATATCTATACTATAATATGTCAGCCCACGCTTATCTCAATACGTGACGTATTGTGATGCATCTTACTAATAAATCAAAGTTAGTTCGGTCTTTTTGGAGATTATCGTGCATAAACGCACAGATATACAAGCAAAAAACTGTTTACGATTTTATTATGACAATAGATATAGATAATGCTGGTTTTATGTGATAATAATGGCACCTTACTAGATGAAGTGACGACCTAATAAGATATGCAGGAGGGTGATGGATGCATTTGGCCGTGCTTTGTGGCGTTTCTTAGGGGAGGTTTATGTTCAACAGTAGGCTTGTGTTGGCCGTATGATGATGGTGATAATGATGATGGCGTGTAAATAAGGAGAATGAGTGAATTCTCTTAAGGCATGACGTAAGATAATCCACTACCCCGTAATTACACGGGTGCTGCAAGGGAAATGATACAGGAGATAGCCAGCAGCATCATTCAAAAAAAAACTTAAGCAGTGGTCAAATAAAAAAAAATTGTACAACCAACTTCAATATCAATCAAATGAAAACATCATCAATGTAGTCGAACTCAATTAAATACGCATTATTTAAGATAATTTAAAAACTACTGGTCAGATTTTGATCATATTTATATGGGACCACATGAGAATTAATAAATTTCAAATAAGAGTCATTAAATTTTGTACGTGGTAGAGCCATGCTGCAACTATATTACTAGTATAGTTGTAGCACGAATGGGTCGGCTCCACCGGGGAGGGACCACGCTCTCACAGAATACCAGCGTAAAATAGCAGCTTAACGCTGCTGTGTTTCATATGGTGAGTGTAGATAACCGGATACCTTTTTTATTGTAAACGAATCTTAATCCTCACGGGTGACAACGCATCTGCATTTTGATTCGTCATCGAGGATAGATGTAGATGTATATGGGCCACAGCAACCATTTACCATCAGGTGGACTATGTGCTCGTTTGTCACCCTTATCGTATAAAAAATCGGTTAACCCAGAAAAAAGTCCTGAGGTAACACACATAAAAAGAAAAACTGTCGAATTGAGAACCTCCTCCTTTTTTTGAAGACGGTTGAAAAATATAAATAATTGCGTTTGCCAACCTTCCGTCATGGCAACAATGGCTAATATTCATCTATTAGATAATCTATGGATTGTTTAGCCGTGGACATTTGATAAACTGTAATGAATAATTAGATAACTTTAAATTTGTATTTAGAATTTAAAATCAATAGGCTGATACTGCCTTTAGATTATAGAAGTTAAGAAATGTTAATTAAGGTCTTATTTTTTTTCAGGTACTGCTAAGCAGCGAAGTTGGTATAACAGAAATCAAGCAAATGTGCAGATGTAGGAATGTAAAAGTCAAATTAAAGACGCGCCCGAAGATGAAGCGGCGGTCGCTGCCAACCGTCCGCGAAGATAACCAGAAAAGGAACACGTGTAACAGTGATTTTGTGATCTATGTTATGGTAATAACGGCGGCGGTGCTGAGTTATGTGAACAGTTTAAACGGTGATTTCGTCCATGATGATATCCCTGCTATAGTGACGAACGGTGATGTGATAGGAATAAATTCTTTTAAGGAACTTTTCTTGAACGATTTTTGGGGGACGCCCATGTCCGATGCAAGCAGCCATAAGTCTTATCGACCGTTGACCACGCTTTCTTTTCGGTAAGTGATTCTAAAATTTCTTATAATATTTCTCTATAATATTGTTTGCTTTAGTGTATGGTGCGAACTAGTCAACAAATTTGAAATTTGTTGTACAAATGTGAAGTTTTTTCTATGCTTCATTTCAAGTTTTCATTATAAGGTTAATTTCAAAGGAGATTAAATTTTGAGACGCTGAAATAATTGAACGAGAGTTATTTGAATTTTATCTCATCTCTTTTTCAACAGACAAAATAGAATTTGAAATTGATTAGGCTTTAAATGAGCGAAAACATCTTAAGCTTAACCTATACACTAGTAGTATGTATTTCATATATAATTGGGTATATATAAAGAACATGATAGGCGATGCTGATTCTGAAACCGTGTTGATCTGATATTGTTAATTTATAAATCTTATTTTTCTATTTAGTAGTTTATATACCAATTTGTTAATTCTTTAGGTGGTAGAGCCGTAGAGCCAGGCTGCAGCTATATTAATAGTATAGATGTAGCACGAATGGGTCGGCTCGATCGGGGAAGGACCACGCTCTCACAGAATACCAGCGTAAAATAGCAGCTTAATACTGCTGTGTTTCGTATGGTGAGTGTAGAGATCCGGAGACCCTTTTCACTGGAAACGAGGCATTCCATCTTAGTCCTCACGGGTTACAACGCATCTGCATTTTGATTCGTAATCGAGGATAGATATAGATGTCTATGGGCCACAGCAACTACTTACCATCAGGTGGACTGCGTGCTCGTTTGTCATCCTAATTCTATAAAAAAAATATAGTCAAACATTCTTAGAGTTTACAGGAAACACATATCATAATAAATATGAAGGAAATATTACTGAATTGTCAAATAAATACTCATAATGGTATGTTGAACCCTATTTATTCTTTCTCCAACATCTTAAAGTTACCCATAAATATTCCTCGGGGAACGTTTACTTAACGTCGCGTGCACGAACACCGAACTTAATATATCAAAGAGGATAACATCTGTGACAAATTTAGAATGGTTGACATTGCGCGTAATAAGTATATAACTCGTACGTAATATTTCCTAGCAATAAGCAATAACATACATTAAAATCATGAGTAAGTAATAAAAATAAAACTAAATATCCGTAAACTCTCACGCTTGTAACCCAGAGGGGAAGGTAGAAACTACAGAACGGATATTCTTTTGGCACGATCTTGACGCACCTTCTTTTGCCTCTTCACGTTCTTGTATACGCATACACGCTCGTTAGATAAGGTATTCTTAACTAGGCCCGTCTTCAATATTTCACCGATATGGTCGATAAACTTGCTTCTAAGATGTCCCTTGCCGAATTCTTTCTGAATCCTGGTCACAATATCGCCTAACAAACCAAACATTTGCCTTATTATTCAATTTTTCACACTATCATTCAGAGTCACACCTGACTTAATACTTAATGTATTTGTAATACTTAATACGTAATATAGTTGTATTTCTAAAATAGTTTGTAAAATTCATAATTTGAAATTAAAAATTTTGTACAACTGACTTTAATATAAATTATCAAGAATAACTCAAAAACTGTTGGTGAGACCATTCATATGGGACCACACGAGAAGCACCAGATTTCAAATAAAAAAGAATCATGGAAATCAGTTCACCCAGAAAAATCATAAAAAACATACAGTCGAATTGAGTACCGTCTCCTTTTTGAAGACGGTAGAAAAGTGCACGCCTCATGAGCGTTTCATTTAATTTTGATAAAAAAAATCAATTATATTCCTGACGTTTACGTGCATTAAATTTAGCGCTCTATTATTTTAACAGGCTTTTTTTTAAGGTAGCAATATAAAATTATTTTTAAAGTTCCGAAATTAAAGCAATATATATAGAATAGCTCCGAACTACCATTCGGAGCGTTGGCCGCTCCCCGGGCAGAACAACTTTGCCCGGCGGCAATTTTGACGTGTCGACAGTAGAACACAGCTATAACGCTCCGCATTATGAGGCGTGTAAAAAATGAAACTCAATACCTAATTTAAGTATAAAAAGGAGTTCTTGCAAAAGCTATAAGATTTATAATAAGAATGGAAAAAATTTGAAGAAATGCGTTGCGATATTGTAAAAATATTGATTTTTCTTTTTACATATAGTCTTATATGTCTATTATGATCATAACATAGAGTATCTTCTTTTCACCGATGACACGTACGCTAATTTCATTATTTTTGTTTCTTTCTATATAATTCTTATATGGATATTTATCAAAACAGAATACCTCAATACATAGTCAACCTATCTACGGAAACCTCAACATCTGTCTGTATTAGAGTCTGTAGTAGCGGTTAGAAAACGTGAGTAGTTTGTAAAAAACGAAGTGTCATGCTATACCTTGTGACGTGTAGTGACCCTATTATTCTCCACTGCCCATTACGATCGGATGCAGTGAATTTGTGCAGCTGGATCAACACTTAGCATCCATTGGGATAGTAATCAACACTAAATTAGCTTGACAAAGGCCTATTCTCTCTTGCCTTGATATATTTGATATACGAAGTTAACATATTAATAACTTTTATTCCTTGCCATACTTGATATTATTTGGCTTATTATTATTATTAAGGCCGTATTGTTCGACAAGATTATGTCCGCCATATTTATAAAAAAAGTGTAAAGAAAATATAAATTACGATATCATTTGTAAACTAAGTATAGTGGTACAAGAAGCTAAAAGAAAAATTGATTCCTATCAGACTCCACTGCAGTAGGGTAAAAAATAACTGCTTTATTTTCAAAAGCGCATATAGTTTTACTTTCACTAGGGCGGGTGTACGGTTACATTGCCATTACTACCGACACTATGACACGTAGATGTTTTTACGTGACAATAGAATATTAAAAAAAATTATTCAATATAGATCACATATGTAATTCTTATCAAAAGTCATTTTTTACTTTACCACTGGTTCGTAAAAAAACCTATGTCCAGGGAAGTACCAGCAAGAAACGCAGCGGGACTTTCTTAAAGTACATTTTACATTAATGTTTGTACAAACTATTTACAAGATTTAATTTAGAAACTGCTTGGAAGCGACGCCTCGTACCCAGGGATTATTATGAGCCATATATATTTATTTATATTATAATTACCCTTTTTATAGAGTTTCAGCTTAACAAAATATTTAAACTTGGTAATAGAGAGAGCCTGTACATCAATAGAGAGATAACCCAGCCACACCTGCGGAACCGCAATAATAAATTATGATAGCGCCGACGTCCAAGCTAGCGCACAAAGAGACCCTCTTATCTAGCGCGCCGAGTTCGCACTTTTGTGGTATATGCGTTTATGGCGATTCTTAATAACGTAATAAACTCTTGCAAAAAAAGGGCACCTAAGTAAAGAACCGATTTTATTGTTACTATAACATTGTTTGATAATTTTCAGGTAGTCTTATACTCAGAATTTTTTTAATTTATTAGCAAGGAATAGCTTTTGTCAGCTTTATCACAACATTTTGATTAAAGTAATGGGGAATATTGTTAAAGTTCAAAGCATTAGCAGTGTACCTGCTCGCTAAGTAAAAATTAAACAGGATTTTTTGTAAGTGTATACTTCAATAAAGTAATAACTAATATATTTTTTTTTCTCCCACAATTTAGGTTAATAAAAGTAAAGTAAAAAGTATGTTTTTAAGATTGTGAGCAGAGAGTCTGGTCTTTGCACTAGGCCGAAACCAGTTAAAAACAAATATAAGTTTAGTATGTAGTGTGACCCCCTCTTGCTTAAATCACAACTTGCTTTCGTCTGGGCGTGCTAGCGAGTATCTCTTTTGGTTTCTTGCAAAATACGTTCCCATTCCGCGGTAATCACATTCTTTAGGTCTCTGATGGTCTGCGGAGCTGGCTGTAGCGATTACACTCGGCGCTTAAGAACCTACTAGACATGCTCTATGGGGTTTAGTTCGGGACTTCGAGCTGGCCAATCCAAATGACGTTTTTATACAGATGGTAACTTGATAAAATTAAGGGTTTTGAGTGCAGCGATGTTGTTGTGTTCAGGCAGTAATAATATACGCTACCGTTAAGCGTTAAAAGGAAGGGGATGGTTGAAATCGGTGTATTCTTGAATCGGAATTTTAAGTTGTTAGGCATAAGGTCATGATCATCGTAGTCGCTGAATAAAGGTTTCCTATCCTCAGCCACCTGCATCTATCGAAACCCTGCCCATCTTACGTCAGATCGTCACTTCTTGTGGGACCCGCCCTACACTTCGTTTACCGTTACGAGGAATACAATAATCTAAATTAGCGTAATTGTAATATTTATTTACAAAAAATAATATTGTACTTATTGCTTACACAAAAATGGGCATCGGTTAATTTTATTGACCTATTTCTATGAAATGTGCTTATACTAAGACGATATGCATTGTAATTATTTCAAAAAGTGATTAACGGCTAATATATACACCAAAACAAAGAACGCACGGTTGTAATAATGTTATTGTCTAATTGATACGGCTTTATCCTCGTGTATACCGTTCAATTATTCAATATACAATTCAATCGATATACATTTATTGGTGCACGTATACTTTGTTGTTACCACTGTCCAAATTGAGTTTAATTTTTGTTATAACAGGTATATATTATATTAATATATCTGTAATAGAATGGAATAGAATAATTTTTATTCAATATGGAATCTATACATATAATAAAAATGTAAATAGCCGATGTCTGTACATTTTAGATTTTTTATATAAGAAAAGTGATTGAGGGGTACTAAAAATAAGTAATTAAATACATTTCTACCATTTTTAGAATTTTCTGTCTGTCTGTCTGTCTGTTTGTTTGTTAACGTATCACGTATAAAGTACCGATTTATATCGTAAGAATTGTTAATAAAATTATAAAGTGTATCTTCAGGTTACATTTAGTCTTTATTTCATTAAAATTAGTTCATTCCATCAAAAGTTATGATAAATATTCTGAAGTATGGCTTCAAAGTATAGGTACGAATTTGTTCAA